AAAAAAAAAAGCAAATGAGAAAGAAGTGAATCAGAACCCTGGAAGGAGGAAAAAGGAAAAGAAAAACCAAGGAGGAACCAAGAGAAGGAAACTCCCCCCGGTGGTCCTTAAAGCACTGTGCTCGTAGCTAAACACTTTTTGGCAGCCCCTAAAACCAGGGTGCGGCTGAGAAGGGGGGAGAAAAGAAAAGGTGAATTGAAGAATGAAAGGGCTTTGTGAAGCAGGAGATGCCATGACTTGAAATTCTTCCCTGTTAATGAGGAGAGAATATGACTTCAAAGATTAGAGAAAAGATTTTTTTTTTAATTTAAAATGATTTCCTCTCCTCTGTATCTCTCTGTCTACTTTCCATCTTGCTGCTTGAAGACTATTTTTAGGTGCAATATAATGGAAAGAATGGTCTAGAAAGGAGATGTGCTGTGAGCAGAAGCTCTGTAATACTCTGTCACTGTATCCTATTTATCTCCCACGAGAAACTGAGAAAAAAAAAAAACAACAACCTCTGCTGTCAATGTGAATTATGGCCACTCACTGTTGATATTATAGGTATGTGAACTGCACTGTATAAGCACACGTGTCTGTCATGAAACAAAAACCAGGGATGAACCGATCTGGGTTTTCTGGATCTTGATCCGACTCGTTCTGACCTCACGTCACCAAATTGGACCCAGATGGAGCACAAACCTGAACATTAGCGATAAAGCTAGCAGGTACAGGAAGATACTGCAGGATTCAGTTGCACTTTTTTCCTAGGACAGTGAAGGCATCAGTCTGCCTGTGATGGTTTAGTGTTGTCTGCCTGGGTAGGTTAGTTCTATGCAGGTTAGTGTCATTGAATTGAGCTTTCTAGCCTTGTTGCTAAACTAAGTCAGTGACTTAATCTTAATCTGGTCTATAATCCTATTTACTGGACACCCTTTAGCAAGAATATATATTTTACAGTAAGGCTTCGTGAACACATGGTACAGACGACGGTGTTTCAAATGCAGTTGCTTCCCAAAGTAAATGAATAAAATCCTTTAAAATGTCCTCAGACTTGAAGCATCTGTAAATAAGACTATGGAATATAATGTATTATTTTAATCTTCACTTGGGGTCTGGGGTTTTAACAGCTGTATGCTAAAGCTAGCAGCTTTTCTCTGTCCTCCTATAAAGTTCCCAGCTCAAAATGGCCCTAAGCCAACAGTTCTCCTTCTCAGTTGTGTGGACTCGACCTGAAAGATTTTTTCAAGCTACAGAAAAAAAAAGCTGAGTTTGACAGATACAGAATAAATGCTCATGGAAATTATGGCAAAAATGCAAACATTGTGACTTGGCTGGTGACGAGTCATCCTCCTCTGTCAGCTCAAAAGGGTTTGAGGTCAGATCGCATACGGCAACAAAATCCAGATCGGTGACATCTGTGAACAAAACCGTTGTTACTTCAATAGTTGACCTCTTGTTCACTCTGACCATGAGTGTAAATAAATTATTATGACAAACCTCGGAGTAAAAGCTGGTGTGGTATTTATCCAATGTTCAAATCCTCACCTGCAGCATCGTCCCCTCCTGGACCAGAGGTGTCCGGCTAAGAAGGAATAAAATAGTGGGGCACCTGTGGGGCCCTCAGGGGCCACCCTGCAGAACTGGGATCACATTAGTGTACGGCTGATGCTTCTGTGTGCCACCTTTCATTGTTAGGACGGCAGCCAGAGAGTGATGCTGCGAAAACCTGCAAGATTGTATGGTATTGATCAGTCCTTCAGGATGTACAGTGTGTGTGTGTGTGTGTGTGTGTGTGTACGACTACACACAGGAATGAAGCTGTTTGGACTGGAACACAAGTGGCTATTTCACGGTCAGGTGGAGACGTCATGTCCATGTCTGTCAAGGCCACAGGAGGATGAAGATGTAGAGGAGGAGGAGGAGGAGGAAGAGGAGGAGGGGGAGGTAAAATGAAGCTGTCATTTGAGTTGGAATTTCTTCAATCTCCCTTTTTCCTTTTTAAAATAGACAAAATCACTGGGTTAGTGTTGAAATTAAGCATCTCAGGATGTTGGAAATTGCTGCCATTTGTAGTCTAGCCTCCAAAATACAACCCTAACTGACAATGAAGGAATATTTTAACCAAAACGTTAACTTCTCCAGCCTCAATGTTGGATAAAACGTCACATTTGGCTCATAAACAAATTAATTATGAGCCATAAGCGATTGAATAGCTTAGCATTAAGACTTGAAAACAGCCAGTAAAGCCGGCGTCTGACTGTACAGCCCATAAAGTCAAATCACCATTATCTCCAATGATCGAGAAACACCAGGATATACAACAGTGATTTTATCAATCTCTTGTTTTCAGATTCCTCTGATACTATCTCCTTGTTACAAATGAATTTTTATGCTTTCCTGCCAGCAGTTAGATCACAATATTTTCAAGCGTAAACACAGTTTTTGGCAGCTCTGACTCTAAAGCTGTTTATCTTATTCCATCTTAAAAAAAAAAAAGTATGAAAAGTGAAAAACAAGTCAGGTAGGGTATTTTAATTTGTGAGTTTTCAGAGTGTAAAAGGTCAATCAAACCATCTGCTATTGTGAAGCAGATTAGTACATGAGTGATTTTTACTCCTCTTATTATTCATAGAATGAATTAAATACTGTTTATAAAGAAATAGTTTGGTTTTTTTTACAGGAAATAACCAAACCATTGATGAACTAATGAGTGATATCAAAATTAATTTCGGTATTAAACTCTACGGTTAATTTATAATACCGGCGGGAATATATAGGCCGGAACTATAGTTAAGCTCAACTCGAGCGGTAGGAAAACAAAGTTACACAACACCGCAAGTGTTGCTTTGAACTTGGTTGTTTGGGTAAAATAGCACATAAAGAGTTTTTTCCATCGAATAGTGCATTAAATTAGCCGTGTGAGGTTATTTTATCGACCAAAGTGTCGTCGTAGATGACGGTTAGTCAAAATTAAAGCACGCCATAAAAAAAAGCAGTGAAAGAAGATGCGGGACAGTCACCCGACTTCGTTCGTCAAAGTCAAGGTAAATACACAGTAACTGTATTAAATTACGTCCATGTTTTTCTAACGTTACGTTGAATTGGTAGCATAATAAATGTTAGCGTGTCATTTGTAAATAATATTCGAGTCGTCATGGGTTCGACTTTTAGTACAACGTCTCAAGTTACACGACTTCCACCGGACGTCATTTTCCGCTTCCATTTTGCTATGACAGTTAGCATTAGCTCCTCCTCAGTGGAAGGCCCGTTTCCTTCGTTACTAATTTGTGTATGACTTGGTAATTTAAACTTTAAATTAAACAATAGAAAAACTATTGATGGTATATGAAAGAAATAAGTAAAATAGTGTTGTTATTTAAGGGTAGATGTTAGAATTTACGGAATGATACGGTCATTTAGTTTATGTATAATTTCCCGTGTCTTCAGGATGTGGTTCACATCTTATTCAAAGGGTTTTCTTATGAAGACCATGAGAACGGGAGGTTCTTTGGAGGTTTGCCAACTTTCCTTTCAGTCTGAAAACGATGAACTTGAACTTCCCGGAACAAAAAACTGTCAAAAACTGATGAATGGGATCAGGAGAGTTAATGGAGGTTCCTTCAAGTTTGATAGGATTTCTGCTTGCTTTAGAGTTTTCCAACTGGATTCATGCCACCAGTAGTTTCTGGCTCATCTTGGACCATCCGTCTTTGTCCTCGTCACCCATCCCTTTGTATTTCATCCACAAAAACTTTGCTTTTCACCAGACTTGAATTTCATTCCAAAATTCCTCAGTCAGCCTTTGGATTTCATCAGAGTTTGATGCATTAACTACCTTCAACACTAGAGGCAGAACACATTGACTCAGCAGGACAGAAGCTGCTCTGTGTTTGTTTTTGTGGGTAACAGTAGCTGTAAGACTCATCCCTGTGAGATCTCCTTCGGTTTCGTCCATCAATAGAACATTATCCGAGGCAGGCGGACGAGCACACATTTGTCTTGCTGTTATTTCAGCAGCAGTAGTTGTTCTGCTTCATCTCGTCCACGGAGTCCGGTTTGGTTTATTGTTCGGAGTACGATATGATCGGAACCAGCTGCCACTCCTGATGGCCGCAGGGCAGCCTGGAGCTGTGTAAGACTCCACAGCTCCTCCATTGTCCACAGCATCAGCACAGACAGAATTACATGTCCAGGAAACATCCTTCTTTTCATCAAAAAAAAAACTTTATATATTAATATTTATATAAATATGACCTTCTTGAATAAAGTCAGCCATTTGTTTTTTTAATCTAGACTAAAAAAAAAGAAAAAAAAGACCCCTGGCTATTTGTAAATTTTAGCATCAGCGCTCTTTTGTGCCGCCGCAGGGAAAATATGACGGTAATGAATAGTTTATACTATTTAAACTATTATGTTCTTTAAGCTTTGAATATTTCTAATGGTATCTTACACCAAGGAAAATAAAATAAAAATACTCTGCAATGTTAGTCAAACATCTTAAACCAAAAAGTGTCAAGGAATAAGTAGCCAAAAGTTAGTTGAAAAGAAAAAGCTGTTAAAGCTGATGAGCTAAAGCATGTTACCCTAAATATAACAGTTAAAGCCATAAAGTTAGCTCGATGAGCTAAAGCATATTTTAGCCCAAATATTTGTAAAACTAGAAAATAGATGAATCGATGTTGTAAAAAAAGTTTTTTTTTCATAGAAAAACATATTTGTTATCGTGGTAACCATCATTGTAACCTGTGTTTTTGCAGTTTGTCTGGTTTGTCTCCAAACTGTGTCACTTGATTAACCCTGACATTGTATGAAGAAATATATTGACTCTCGTTTATTGTTCCTCTCCAGTTGTCAACGTCCTCTCCACAAAACCAAGAAGTAAATTCAGGGAAAAGATTTCCCTCCAGAGATTTGAAGAAAAAAAATCAGTTCCAGTGCCTCCTGTTCAGATATCCTGATAGAACCAGACTGAGGTTTGGCCGCTCTGTCAACTCACCAAGACTTGCCTAAACTGGCTAGGATCATGGTCTCTCAGTACCTGTTCACAGGTTTGGCACGTACACACACACGCACACACGCACAATGCACTGTTACACAAGAGAATCCCAGACTCGGTTCCCATAAAGTCACAGCGTGGTTGCACAAGAACCAAATATCTTTTTCATTTATTCACACAAAAACCCTTGAAAGTCTGTGTTTGTACTTTAGGGAAAGTTGAAACCAAACTCCCAGAGAACTTAGAACACGTTGTATAGTTACTATCAAATTATAAAAAAAACCAAAACAAAACGTTGTATAGTTACTATCAAATTATAAATAAATAAATACAAAGGTGATTTGTTTTAATTAATACCAATTAATCGTGATTAATCAGATTTAAAATTTGGATCAGTCAATCGTTTTTTTTTACATAGCCTTGCTTAGAAAAATGTTATTTTTTCCAACTAGTAAAGCAGACTGCTAGTAGTCAAAAACAACAAGAATTCAACCACTTCCAACAACTACGTCCTTGTTTATGCAGTAATTGGAGACACTGTAGACGTCTGTACACGTCGCACCACGTGATCCTGTAAAAAAAAAAAGGAAAAAAAAATCCCCGACAAACTCGTTTCGTCGTTCTCTCACACCCATGCGTTCAGATTAAAGGAGATTAACAGAGTTTTTGGCTCCTCACAGAGAGAGTCTTAAAATATAATAAGTTGTTTTCTACTCTTCTCACCTCTTATTTATTATTAATCCTTTATCTCCAGAGTTGAATTGGTAAATGCAAAACAAATGTATACATATATAAACACAAAGTCATTGTTGGCTCTTTGGTTGGTTTTGTTGGTGTGATATTTGTACAGATTTATCTACAAATAATAATGAGTTTTAAATAATTAGCTTTTTTTTGCAATCTTTCTCAAAGTCTTTATTTTTCTATGTGAAATCTTTAAAGCTAGTTAACTGGAAATCCCCCCAAAGTGGTGAGTAAACCGAAAGATTTTTCTCCAATTTGGCAAAATGTCTCCTGTAACACTGACTCATATTAGTCTGGGTCTGGCCCTGTGTTAGAGGTGACCAAAGAAGGAAGAGCAAATGGGAGGGAACAGGTTACATGCTGTATAATTTCAGAATGTAATTATGCTAACACTGTGCCGATCGGCCGCACACTATAAATGACGTGTGAATAAATTGAATTTGACGGCTGTAGCGTTTATTCTACAGGGCTGCACTGCAGCGACGAAGGGCGAGGGTGGGGTGGAGGAGGTGAGGAAGTGGGAAAGGTAGGAGGATAACAGGCGTGAGGGATGAAGAGAAAGGCAGATATGACAGAAAATCACTAAGACTCCGCTCCTTCCCTGCTCCTCCTGGGACCAGCATCACACCCTCAGCAAGTCTTTGCTCTCGGTGCCTGCCTGGACCGGATCTGCACGGCGTTTACATCCACTGTGTGTGTGTGTGTGTGTGTGGAAATTCCCACTTTTCTCACATTTTCTCCCTGGTCTCTCCCTCTCTCCCTCTCCCTCTCTCTCGGTTTTGCTGCTCAGAATTCATCCATTTCTTATTCTGTGTGCGGAAGAGAGTGTGAATCCATCTCTTCCATTCGTCTCCCTTTGGTATTATTCCTTTCCTACACACTTTTCCTTACGTTTCCACTTCCATATCCTTACCTTCTTATTCTCCTTCATCTTCCTCTCCTCTTCTTCCCTCCCACTCACCTGGATCATGTGCCGTCGTTGGTATAAAACCACACAGACTTGTGGCATCAGGTTTTCCAAACAGGTCTTATTTACACCTCTTCTCTCCTGTCATACCCAGGAGGAGTGGGGTTTTTTTTTCACTGCTTGTGGAACTATTGGCAGACGTGAGGAAATGAAAGTGTTGACAAGCTGTTTAATAGCGATTGATGTGGTCGAGACTGAGGGGAATATCGTGTTTTTGTTAATGGTTGTGTTGAAAAACAAACTACCATGTGACCGCGTCCTGATGATAAGAACTACAGTCACTGCCAAGTGTTTCACTGACATGAAAGTTCAACAGTAAATGAGCTGGTACATTCATTAAGGGCAGTCAAATCTAAAAAAGTCTGACAGAAACCTCGATGCTCGCTGGTGTGCCGTGAGCGATCATGTGGTGTGCCGCGGAGGATTATCCAATTTTACTTAATTGGTTTGAAAACTATCATTTATTTATTGCAATTAATTTTCTTTTTTTCGTCAATGACAGGCAGCAACAATTAAGTAGTTTTCCACTAGGTGGCAACAAATGGCTATGAAAACTAGAAAAAAGAGAATCGGAGCTGTTGTAGAAGATCTTTGTGTCTTTCTTCAATTCCTTGCAATTATATCAGTGTTGGCTTCAACTAAACAGGACGAGATTTTAGTCAATTTAAACTAGAATATTATTATATTTCATTATATGTGAATTTTGAATTTTTGTTTGGTACTTTGTCGTGGGGCTTTTCCAATATAATATATGCACTAGTACCGCACTGGTGTGACCCCTGACCTTTCAGTTAGAACTTGATTTTATCCAAACTAATGGGCGGTGTAATAAGAGATGAGAAGTTAAAAAAAAAACACATTTTTGTCACTCTGCAGTGATTTAAGACAACACGTAGAGAGAAGTGGAGGAGATAAGAGCAGGGCAGAGATAAGAGTGAGAGGACGCAGAAAAACAAACCGTCTCTCGGCCCAAATATGGACTTGTTTTCTTCTTTCTCGCTGACTTTTATGACGAGCAAAAAGCTGAGGGGAAACAGATGTGATAACCCTGCTGCTCGGTGTGAAACGGTGTGGAGCACCGCGTCGACCGGCTGACAGTGTGTGGTCAGAGCCCGGCTGTACTGCACTGCACTGCACTGCACCGTGAGCAGCAGAGAGGTCTCAGCGTGAGCCCCCGCCTCTGATCTTTAATTCACACCGCTGCCGGTTTGTGCTCGACACAGACGTGTGACGGTGGGAGACGGGTGGGCACGGAGACTCTGCTGTGACAGGGCGGCTGGTGATGATGCAACAGCACCGCAGACGTGTGTGTGTGTGTCTGTGTCTGTGTGTGTTAGGAAGAAACCTCTGAATAACAGAAGCTCGGTTTGAATTCTTTGCACGGCGTGGGAAAGATTTTGATAATGACACTAATTTCTGTGTCTGTCAGAGCAGGTAATGATGTTGACGTGACGTTAATATCAGATCTACACTCGGCCAAAAAAGGCTTCAAGTGTGAAGAGTGAAAACATGCAGAAAATCTCACAGACAAATAGTCAACAATCAGTCACGTTGGATTCAAAAATACAATTTTGGTTCAGAACCTCTTTTAAAAATTGCAAATAAAAGGCTTAAGATAATTGAACACATCGTGTAAACACAAGATAGTTCAACATGAAATGTATTTGACATTGTGTAGTTATACAAAAAAATATTTAAAAAGGACCAAATAATTAAATTAAAGGAAAAGGAAAAAAAATCAAAATGATAAAAAAAACATTTACAGTTTGTTTTTCTTCTTGTTTTTACTTGAGTCGTGTTTCACCTACATGTCACTTTAGTCTAAAG